TCAGATGGGTTGAAAAGGATGTTCTGTGGACGCATTCTCATCTACCTGCCAGCTGTGCTCGAGTGCCTGACCACTGAGATCCTGGGACTAGCAGGAAACACGGCTCATGACAGCGGAAGAACAGGATCGTCCCTCAGCACCTACAGCTGGCTGTCCGCAGCGACGAGGAGCTCAGCAGACTGCTGGGAGGAGTGGCCATCGCTCTGGGAGGAGTTCTGCCCGGTATTGGGGCGGTCCTACAGCCCGGGGGAACCGAGAGGCCAGCCGAGTCTGGGTGGACGGATCGGACGGCATCTGCAGCCAGTTTCTTAGGATCGACTGTGGGATGGACCTTTACAAGAGATACTTCCTGTCTACAGCATCAGCATCTATAACATCTCTTAATGAAATGAGGATAACGAGTTACAACAACAAATAATTTCCCTTTGGGATTAATAAAGTATATTTGAATTTGAATTTGAATTGAATACATATATCCTTAACCTCCACCATCTGCTCTTCCGAGTGCCCTAGATGGTAGCTCTCTGCTGAAATAAAGTCCAGTTCATTTGTTTTTAACTTTTTTGGGGGATTTAGCTCTCTGCTCCACACAGAGAGCTGTGGTAGCTTGGCGGTCTGTGGAACCCAGAAAGAAAGCATCATGTGGCTGCTCTACTTTTACTTTACAAGTCACAGATTTCTGCACACACTTAGGTTTGTCCAATGCTGCAGTTCTTTAGCTCGTTTGCTCTCTATGTCCTAAAGTGTCTTTATGCACTCTCTTCTTTTTTTTCCTCTCTGCGCTCTCAGTGGAAGCAGACGTGTCCTCTTCTGCTTCGTCCCTCCACTTCCTGCTTTGCTCTCGTGTCTTGTGAACCCTTTATAGAGCCTCTTTATTTTCCTGCATACCGTCCTAATTTGATGGATTTGATCAGCTGGTTTCTCAACAAAATTTATCAATTTCTCCTGACAGGAAGTCAGGGTGGACATGGACATGTGACAGACCCTCAACCGAGCTGATGATAACAAACACCTCTTATCTGGACAATGGCTGAGGGGGGCTCTGGACTATGCTACAACCTTCCCTTAAAACTCAATGCCTTCACCGGCCTCATATCTATTATGTCTATTTATGTTACTATGCTGTGGCAGATTTTTTTGATGCCTCAAACCGTGCCCTGTCCAGGACATGGTGTGAGAGATCTTATTTTTTTATACCTTCTCTCCTCATGTTTTCTTCCCCTTTTCTCATCAAAGACTAAAAGTATTCTGTAAAGGATAAGAGGCCGCGCTCTTAAAGAGCAGCAGCAACGTGCATTCCGCCCATCTTTCAGAAGACTCTACAGACATACTCGTTGTATCTCGTTACAATGATAATAAAGCTTATTCTGATTCTGTGCAAACTAAACTAAAATAAATAAAACATGTTGGTGTGTGACTCACTCCTGCACTCTTCCTCCCACCCTGCTTGTTGGAATCTCCCCATATCTCAGCAGCTTGGTGGAAATGGAAGCATTACACTAATGATACAGTTCAAAAAGGTCTGGAGGAGGGCTGCAGGGAGGGTGTATCTCTCCCACTTTGTAGACCACAACCCTACAAGCCAATTAAAGTGATGGTGCAGTGCAGCGCCGTTTGGACAGAGTTTGATGTCGTTTCAGTTCAGAGTGGAGAATCTCTGACTGCGAGAAGCTCCGAGTAGCTCCCACCTCCACATCTCTGCAGAGGGATTCACGTTGGAGCACCTGCACTAACAGATGTGAGGGTCAGGAAGATTGGGAGGAGCAAACAAAAAGGAGGACAGCATCTGGAACAGGGAGGAGATAAGGAGGTGGGACAACAAGGAGACTGCCTCAGGCTGATTTAGTGACAGTGTGGTTGTGCCTAAAAAGACTTGGAAGAATGAAGAGGAACAGGGAAAACAAACAAGAATGGTTTTGCTTCATCTCCGTGAACTCCATTGATTCAGTGCAGGTGGGACGGAGGGAGCTGACTGATGCAGTCCTGAAGCCTTTTTTGTAATGTCAAATTCTTTACCACTAAGCCATACTGGTGCAACACATGGACACCAGTTCATGAATCTGCTGCCACCATGCTTCAACCACGACCCCAATTCGCCGCTACAACTGTGATAAGCCACTACGACTTCACTATGGGGAGGTTTGTGCACACTCAAAACCCTCCACAGCCTTTCATACACGATCACACTTAGGCCACTGCACCGATTCCTGTTCATGTTGCAAAAATCACAAGAACTCCCTCAGGATGGAGCTTTAGATTACACAGGTTTGATCAGCACACTGATCCACGGTCTATAATTCTCCTACACAAATTAATAGGAGAAAAAAGAAGAGATGAGGCTAGAATGAGACATTGATGAGACAGAAAACAAAGTAGGTGATAAAGAACGACGGCCAGTGTCAGTCTGTGTTGAAAGAGCAGTGGTGGGTGGGAAGAACAGAAGAAGAAGGGAGAAACGATTGCAGGCCCGTCAGCTGCTCTCACTGTACTTTCTCGCTGACTTTTCCAACAACTTCATCAATCCATCCCCCTTTTAATCTCGCCCAGTGACTCATAATGGAATTACCTGCCTCGCTGCTGCACTCTCACTTAACTTGACACCACGGGCTTCCTTCTTCACGTATCAGTTTGTTTCTGAGGCTGCTACAGTTTGACATTCTGGTTTAGTTCATTTGGTGCTTGGTTAAACAAAAGTGGTGCTCACCAGCGTTGGGATTTTAAACGTCAGCATCGGCACCAATGGACCGAGGAGGAGTTTGCACACTGCACGCAGACAAATCAATCACTCAGCTAAAACAATGAAGTCAATGCTCAGTCCTTTCAAAGAGCATTTTCTACCCTTACGAGCTGCAAAAAGCTGAGCAAATTTATCAACAAGTGGTACACCCATGTCCCCCGTAACCGAGGGATAAACATAGTGAACGATTGTAGTTTTTAAGATGAGTGTGTTTTTTCTGGACAGGTATTGAACAGGGAATGCCAGTAAACCTTACTGTTTTTTGGTTCAAGTTGACAGGAGTGTGTGTGTGTGTGTATATCTATATCTATCTATATCTATATGATACCCAGTGGTGTAGTCTACATGATGCGTGGGTATACAGAGTATATCCACTAGAAAAGCTTAAGAATTTCAGTATACCCACTTAAAAGTGCCCAGTGATACATGACATGTCATTGGGCATGTGTCATTGATATGTTAAATGGCAGTTAAACACTTCCATAACAATCTCTCTGTATACAGCGCTTGTTTATTACATTCACTGATCCAGTGAATTATTGTATAATTAATACTTCTGCACTTACTACTTAATACTTGAACAGGTTTTGGTTTGATACCGTTGTATAAATTATATAACATGTTTTGAGTACAAAGCCATCTCAACAGTTTACAAAATTTCTTGTTCACTTATTCAAATATAAGCATCGGAGAAATTTGGAAATGTTCAATATGCTTTAAAATCAAAATAAATTGATGATTACATTCTACTAACGAGTGTACTTTGGTTTCTAAGCACAGTACACGGACTGACCGTGGCAAAGTTAGTTTTACGTTGGACATTCGTGCTTCGTGACTTCAGCGGTGTCCAACGTCCAACATAAACTAACTTTACCGCGGTATACCCACTGGAAAAATGTAGACTACACCACTGTATATACCTGTGCACCTGGGTCTGACATGATCCGTACTTACTGGCTAACGAAGAAGGTGCACACAAAGCTTGAGAAATACCAAGAGCCAAAAGAGGAAACACGGAAGTTGTGGAGAGTCAAAGCATCAGTAGTCCCAGTGGTCATTGGAGAACTTGGAGCTGCGATCCCTAAACTGGATGAGTGGCTCCAACAGATCCCAAGAACAACCTCAGAGATCTCTATTCAGAAGAGCGCAATCCTTGAAATAGCTAAGATACTGGACAAAACCCACAAATTCCTCTGGTAGAGGACCTGAGTTTGAAGTGAAGTGGAACCACCCAAGTGGAAGAGTAGTGCAAGCCACAGTTTTAATGTATAAGGTGGTGACTATCTTGGGTGTTGATGTGGCAACCTGTTAACTGGCAACAGGCTGCACGCGGCGGGCTATCGTGATGTCTTTCTATTTTTAACATCTGCTACAGTATGGGCTTCTAATTTAAATACTAGGGTGTGAAAATGGCGGTGTAGACCCTCCTCTTTTGATCGACACCTCTTTGGACTAACTGGGTCGGTCTCTCCAGAGCCAATAATGTCGACTGAGTGTCATGTGGGGACATCTATACCTGCTCTGATGCTACAAATACCTGGTTTCTGATTTTACCTGTGCCGTTATCCTCGTTGTAAATTAAGTCACTAAACTTTCCATAGAGTCTTGGAGTTGTTCATTATTCAGTCCTTTCATCTGGGTATTCAGTTCTCGTAACAAAGAGGCTGTTTAAAAAAAAAAGAATCTGAAATTCTTTTTGCTTTTGACCCCGCTCTGAGCTGCGGTTAACTTGTTGTTCCCGAAAGAATTTAAGTTTGATATTTTCAAACCAATAACTCCGAACGACTTCTACTGCAGGTAAAATACTGATTACTGATACAAACGCCACAGAACACAACTTCAAGAGAATTAAAAGACACAACTTAGCTATTCTTTTATTATAGGTGACGGTTATAAGTTAACCCCTCGCTGACACGTTGCTGATGGCTCAAGAACAAGATATATTAAACTGCTCAGAACAACAAACTCATCCGCCTCATCTTTGATCCAGCAGATCCAACAGAGACTTAATTGCATAATGGAAATCAATCAATAAAGCAATAAAAAGACATCAGTAAATCAAATCAATTCAAAGTGAAGCTGATGGGAAAAGCATCTCTGAGCCAAGAGAAGCATTCTGTCCACTCCAGCGAGCCCAGTTTGATTTGGTCTGCTGTCATCATTCACTGGAGAGCAACCTGGACCGCTCTCAAAGGAGGACTTTTATTTGACTCTTAAAAAAGTGGGAGGTCATTATTGTCTTGAAGTCTTTGCCAAAGACAGAGTGAGCCACTCCGCATTATGTGACAGCTTTATGAGGGAAAGTTGCAGATTTCACTGTGAATCGCATTAAACAGCAAAAAGC